TTATAATTGATAAAACAGACTTATTCTGTACTCAAAGATGAGATAACATGATCAAACACAATGTTTGAGTCCATTCTCCATGGATCTTGGTCACATGACCAAGGCCTGTAGATGTTTTAACATACTATATAGAGATCATTTAAAAATGCTTTGTTTGTGTGTGAAATAATCATAGAATTTTTTTTTCAGGAAACAGCCTTAAACATTGCCTTTTCTTGTAAGCTTATTTCATTTGACCAGCAACTCATTACAATCAATGCAAAATCCCAGGTGAGTGGTTTTAAATAAATTTAGTGTTATTTGGTATTATTGTGAAAAACCCCTATGTTTTATGGTACCATCACATTTTGTCCCTGTAAACAGTAAACAATTATATTGATTGAGTGTGTTTTTAAAATATTTAAATCCAAAATGTTAGATGTTAAAACAAACAATATTGGTGTATTGCATTTTCTGTTTTCATACAACTAAAGATATCTGCATAAGTGACTGAGATGTGTTTTAATAGTTAACATTTCCAAATATATATTTCCAGGATGTTGTTGAAAGTCTCATCAAAACATTACTCAAAGATTTGACGAGTCATGGTCCTTTTCAAGATGGCTGTTCCTCAACTCATGGTGCCACATCGGAAACACACAAAACAAAAGCCAAGTCCAAACATAAACCTTCAGCAGATGTAGCCCTGGTGATAGATGGAAAGTCTCTCAGTTATGCTATGCACAAGAGTATAGTGAAAGAGTTTTTGAAACTCTCTAGTCTATGTAGCTCTGTACTCATATGTAGGGCTACTCCAGGGCAAAAGGTACGTGATGATTTCAGTTTTATCTTGTCTTCATCAGTTACTGTTTCTTTAGACATTTTTTTTTTTCAAAATAATGCTTTTAAGTTTGAAGTATTCATGCTTTTGCACAGAGATTATTCAAATTAAAAGGCATTGATTGAGGTTTTTATGACATGAATGTGACTTTTATCATTTTAGGCCCAAGTGGTGAGAGTTGTAAGGGATCAGTTGAACATGTTGACACTTGCCATAGGTGAGTACTGCACCATAGAACACCACATCTCTACTCTTATAATTACTTTACATTACTATTGGATACAACTGTTTGTGTTTAAAATGATATTCATAAAACATGTTGCTTCTCAAATATTGATTTGACTTAATTAATTAGTATCAATTTAGGATCAAATTCAGTCCCTTCTTGGTCCTACTGCCACTTCATTCATTGTATGAAGTCTTTTACTGGGGCCCGCTTCCTATGATGGGCTTATCATAGTGATGTCCCCAGTGCCCTGTGTCACAACATGTCAAGTCAGTTTTAGGGCTATTTTTGTGTACAATTAAGCCCATTTACGAACAGTTTCAACTTTATTTTGAATAGAAAGTACCAACATTCTGTAGCTACCCGCTGAAAGAAAGCAAGTAATAGTATATATAACTTTATTTTTGTACAGAAAATACCTACTTGAACATATCATCTGACAGATTCATTTATAATATATATAGTATGTTATCTGATTTTAGCATGCTAAGTCAATTTTGGGATTGTATTGATATTAAAGGATTGTTCTTTTCTCTTCCAGGAGATGGCGCCAATGATGTCTCCATGATCCAGACAGCCAATATCGGGATTGGAATCTCAGGACAGGAGGGAAAGCAAGCTGTCATGGCGTCAGACTTCGCCATGGCCAAGTTTCGCTTCCTTGAGCGCCTTCTTCTAGTCCATGGTCACTGGTGCTATGACCGACTTGCCCGGATAACTTTACATATGTTTTATAAAAGCACTGTAAGTTAATAAGCTGGTAAAATTTGTCAAAATGATTAGAAAATAATTCTCGGAAATTTCACTTTGCAGTACCTCTGTTAACTTGACTAATGTAGGTTAATGAAATTACTGTTTCCATTTAAATTAAATATTTTCCCATTAATTTTCTTATCAGATTTAAGTAGAACCTTTTTCTATTTATTTCATTATCAAATTAAAATGTCTTCATTACAGGTGCTGATCTTCTTATTGTTCTGGTACCAGATGTTCAATGGATTCTCAGGGTCTGTCTTGATAGATCAGTACGTACTGATGCTTTTCAATGTGGCTTTCACTGCACCACCGCCATTTGTCATTGGAATATTTGACAGGGACCTGCCAGCTGCCACTCTGCTAGCCAAGCCCAGGTTGTATAAACAAGGACCTCGTGGTCAAGTAAGTTGCTGTCTTCTTCAAAATATATCCTGTTTCATCTAACTGATTCTGGGATGTTGCATTTAGTTAGTCCATTAATAAAAATTATATGACATAGATTATTTATTTAATCCAGCACAATTTTTAAGCGAAATTATTTTAATTTGATTTGACTTTTACTTTCAGATGTACAAGCCTTATTCCTTCTTTATTCAAATATCTGATGCAGTCTACCAGAGTCTGGCCATGTTTTTTGTGCCTTACATGGTAAGTTGGCTGATGACTTTGAAGTTTAAAATCCCAAGTTTCAAATCCAGTAAAAACCTTTATTTATAATTCTACATGTTTATTGGCGTGTTTCAATGGTATTTCAAATGTAGTGTTATTGTTATATTTTAGGCCTACCATGGAAGCAGTGTTGGGATCTGGGAGTTTGGCTCCACTGTTGCCACCGCTTCTGTGATCATTAT